CCAAGTCAACTGTTCCAAGCTTCAGGCCTCCTCACTTGCAAAATGGGGATAACTGACTTCATGGAGTTTCTGTGGACATTAAGTGAAATAATGCATCTGAAAGCACCGAATAAACTCTAAATCACATATAAATGGGGAAGGAATGAATCAATACCCATTTAAAGAGATACAGAAAAGTTTTGAATATGTGATATCAAATTAAACATTATATAAATCTCAGATCTCTAATTCGAGATTTGATTCAGCTTTGATTAAAATTAAAATTGGCTATTTCCTAAACTGGGTGGTAAAATGCAGGATGTTTTTTCTTTATATGTGTGTGTTATATACTTATGGATTTTTTCATAATTAAAAAAATTGAGACCAGATGCCTTAAACTTTTATAGTGTTTTTGAAAATGCAAACACTAGGTCAGGCGCAGTGGCTCACACCTGTAATTCCAGCACTTTGGGAGGCTGAGGCAGGCAGATCACTTGAGGCCAGGAGTTCGAGACCAGCCCAGTCAACATAGTGAAATTCTGTCTCTACTAAAAATACAAAAATGAACCAGACACAGTGGCATGTGCCTGTAATCCCAGGTACTCAGGGAGCTGAGGCAGGAGAAGAGCCTGAGCCCGGGAGGCAGAGGTTGCAGTGAGCTGAGATTATGCCACCATACTCCAACTTGGGCAACAAAGCTAGACTCTGTCTTAAGAAAAAAAAATTCAAACACTAGATCAACCATTTGGCTTTGTCTGGAATACATGAAAGAATGTTGGCAAATATATACATACTAGTTACTATACACATATAATATAAATCTATATTGAATTCATGTCATTATCTGTTTATTAAGAAGGGTAAAGAGCTTTTCTCTAATGTATTAAAGTCAGCTTTAAATACGTATAACAATTGCTGACTTGTAACCTTGAGATTATGTTGGTTGTAGAAGACAGAATTTCTTCAAGTTGTAAACTAGGTTTGCTAAAGGTTGATCTTATCAACCTTATGAAGATTAACCCGCTATGACTTCGGTGATCTGATTCTACTTAAGCTGACAAAACTATACATACACACTAAGAATTAGGAACATAATTAAAGGCATTCCTTCTTGTAAAAAAGTTCCTTTTTAAGTATAATAAAATGACTCAAATTGGCTAACTTTAAAATTCATTGCAGAATCCTGATTTTCCATGAAATCAGCAAGATAAAGAGATAAATTCCAAGCATATGGTATTTTTTTTAAATAGGCACAACTCATACGGAGATTCAGGGTACTGGGGTACATAACTGCCCAAGAAGCATAAGGAAAAGGACATATTCTGGCATGAAATGGGAAATCTGAAAGGCATCAAAGACCAGAAGTGTATCAGCAGCAGGGCCTAACAAGAGATACGACAGGCTGTATAAGAATTGGAGGTGGGATGCTCAAAGAGAGTGCTTAAAGTCAGGAATATGTATGGTACATAGTCTTTTAAGAATTTAAAACAGAAGATTCCAACTAGCCTGTATTGAACTGATTGGAATGAGAATACCAGAGACTATAAAGTAGGTGGTTTGTTTCTTTTCTCCCCTCTTCCTCCTCGCCCTTCCTTCCATTCTTTCTTCATTCAACAATCATTAGTTGCACCAGTATGTGTTAGACACTGAAGAATCAAAGAGGAATAAGACTTCCTAAAGATCTCACTCTGATTAAGGATATAAGCAGATGATTGATTATATGACAATGTGGTCAGTACAGTGACTGAAATATGTATGGGGTCCAGTGGCTTTTAGGTAATTTGGGTTAACCTTTAGAAATAAGGAACAGGTGTGAAAGTGGCTAGTAATTTGGACTGTAGGAGGTGGAAAGCAAAAGATGGCATGGCCAGTTTGAAGGAGAAGAGCCATTCAACCTATCCTAGGTAATCTCTCCCATGCCATGCCCCTTTGCCTTCACTTTCCTCTTGGTTCTCCAGCGCTGCCATCAAACTTCGCTGGGCCACAGGGAGCAACACCAAATGCAGTTTGGCATCCCTTTGGCTTCATCCTTCCCTCTTCTCTTCTGGGTCTATTTCTGTATCCCTCACCCCATCACTCCCAACACATCCCCCCTCCCCACATTTTTACCAAACCTCATCTCTCCCAACTTCACTTAAGGGCAAAGAATTAAAGCAGGGTGGGTGGAATAGCAGACATTCCCTCCCTTATTTGCTAAGAGAATCTTAGCTAGATTAGTGGCAGCAATGTACCCAGCCCCAGGCACACTGGTTCTCAAGGGATAGTAGTATCCCCCTTCCACTGAGAGTATTTATAGATGTAGAGGGGACATTTGTATTTATTTCAATGTCTGGGAGGCATTAGTATTTTAGGAGCCAGGGTCAAGGATGCTAGGTGTCCTGCAATGCATGGGACAATTCTGATCTCTCTTACCATAAATTTTATCAGTAGTGCCACCACTTTCTCCTCCTTCCTGATGTAAACACAGGCACAACCCCTGGAGCAGTAGCATGCGGGGACATGTAAAACATTCTAAGAATGACACAGCAGAGTGCCTAGATATGTGATGCTTATTATTAAAGTATATTAGGAGCAGAATGAACACCTTTTCAGATCTGTTCTTAAAGTCACTCTTAATTGGTTTGCTGTTACTTGCAACCAAAAGCTTTCCTAACTGATACGAGGCATAAATTAGAGGGGGGTTGTATTAAATGCTGCTCTTTAGATACCCTGTTTTTTATTCTATGACTTCCATAATACCCATTTTCTCTCTGGGTACTTGTTGAATTCATTATCTTAAGATTTACACTACTAGATAATGTATCTGTACTTTTTTAAACCTTCTGCCCATAAACATCTGGGCTGTGTCCCATATACCCTCTCCTCTGTAGAATAAAGCTGATTAAAAAGAGGAGGATTATTTTTGGTTTCCTACATCATAGTCATGTCACATGTTTTATTGAATAGTTTTATTTCTTCATATGCCTTTCCTTTTTTAAAAAAATGTGTTTGCCTTATGGCACTGATTAGAACCTAGAGTACAAAGCTAAATAGAAATGGTAATATTGGAGATCTTTGTCCTGGTCCCAATCTTGAGGGGAAGATATTCAGTATTCCCCATTGGGTATAATGGGTCAATTGGGTTGTCTGTAAGTTTTTGTGTATCCATTCCTAGATTTAGGAAGTTCCCTTGTGTTCCTTGCTTGCTTATAGGCTTTTTTTTTTTTTTGGAGACATGGTTTTGCACTGCCATCTAGGCTGAAGTGCAATGGTGTGATCACAGCTTCAGCCTCCTGAATATCCAGGACTACAGGTGTGTGCCACCATGCCCAGCTAATTTTTAAAACATTTTCTGCAGAGACAAGGCCTCACCATGTTGCTGAGGCTGGTCTCAAACTCCTGGCCTCAAGTGATCCTCCTACCTCAGCCTCCCAAAGTGCTTGAATTGCAGACATAAACCACCAAGCCCTGCTTATAAACTTCTTTAAAAGCATTTCTTGTAGAGCAGGCAATGCATTCTTCTCAGTTTTTGCTGCCTGAGAATGTCTTTATTTTGCATTCATTTTTTAAAGGATATATTCACTAGGTATATATCAATTCTAGGCTGGCATTCTAGGTCACTGTATGTCATTCCATTGTTTTTGGCTTCTATGGTTTCTATTAAGAAATCACCTATTCGTCTTATTATTGTTCCCCTGAAAAGTAATGTACCCTTTTACCCCTCCACCTGCTCTTAAGATTTTGTCTTTTTCAGCAGTTTAGCTGTAATATACCTGTGTGTCGTTTTCTTTGTATTTATCCTGCCATGGGTTCATTAGACTTCTTAAATCTGTAAACTATTGTCTTTCAGAGTGGGAAAATTCTCAGCCATTACGCTTTCAAATACTACTACTTTTCCATTTACTGCAATGACATAGACTTTTTTTTTTTTTTTTTTTTTTAAAGACAGAGTCTTGCTCTGTCACCCAGGCTTTAGTGCAGTGGTGCAATCTTGGGTCACTGAAACCTCTGCCTCCCAGGTTCAAGCGATTCTCGTGCCTCAGCCTCCTGAGTAGCTGAGACTACAGATGGACACAGACCTTTTGACAATGTTCCATATACATTTCTTACATTCTTTTCTATTTTTCTCTTTGTCTTAATTTGGTGGTTATCTGCCTTGATTTGGTTGTTGTCTGTCGGCTCATTTTTTAGTTTCCTAATTCTGTCTTCTAATAAGGCCATATAATTTTATAGTTTGCAGTTATGGAATAAATGTTTCTTATTTTGTAGTTTCTAATTCTGTTGAAGTTCTGCATCTTTTCATCTATTTTCCATCTTTTCAAAATACCAATCATGGTTATTTTCTATCCACCTCATGTAGTAATTCCAGTATCTGGATATTCTTTGGGTCTGCTTCTAGTGAGTGTGTTATGTTTTAGCCCTTATCAATCACTTCTTCCTGCTTCTTTGAATGTCTAGTCGTTTTTAACTGTATGCTGGAAACTATAAATGACACATTGTAGAGGCTCTGATTGTTATTTTCTTCTAAATGGTACTGATTCTGTTCTAATGGCAAGTCAATCTGATCCTCTTGAGATTTGATTATAAATTCTGGTAAAGTGGGCATACTTCAGCTTTGTTCTTACTCCTAGCGCATTCATAGTGTATGACCTTTATTCCTAGTGTATGATAGTGCACTACGTATACTTTAAAGTACACTTTATTCATAGTGTATGACCTTTCTGAGGTCTCAACTAAATTGCCAGGGTTTCGCAAAAATCTCTTATTTTTGGCTGGGCCCAACCTGCAAAGCCTCTCCCAACACTAAACGGTTCTGATCTCTCGACTTAGCTTTCAGTCTCCCAATAGCTGTTTCCTGCTAAACCTCCTCAAGCCTTACTCCACACATGAGGAGCTTAGGAGCTGGACAAAAACCCAAGGGAAATTCTTTTTTGCAAACTTTTGGAGGTCCTTCTCTGAAAATGCCTCCTTTCTGGTACTGTCACTCACATCCCAGCCACACTGAAAGACTGAAATTCTGCTTCTCTGTCACCTCTCCCTAGATTTCACTCACTGCTTGGGCTGTATTTCCCTGCATAAGAATTTGAAAGTGTCCTCAGGAAGAAAGCCTCTGTGAATATGGGCTGAATTTCTAGGAATCCTTTCTCCCAAGAATCTAGGTACTGGACTTCATTTTATATAATTTATACAGCTTTTATGTCTGTTTATGATAGGAGGACAAGTCCAATACTGGCTTCTCTGTCATAGCTGAAATGAAAATCTCTCCCTCTCTGCTGAATTTCACCTAGCACAGCATCTGCAAATTGTCAGGAAATTATTTGTTAAATGAAATTATGGATTGAACTTCAAGGATACGTAAGATTTGAAAGGTAGAAAAAGGAGTGAAAGGAACTCCTGGAGGGAGAAGAAACATAAGCCCAAATCCAGTGATTTGAAATTTCACATTTCAGGAGATGACAGATTGTCTTAAATATACGGCACATGAGGTCTATGAAATGAGATGATTGCAAAGGTAGGACAGACTGAAATCAGAGAGCGCTTTGGATGTCATGCTGTTGTAAAGGGCTCAAAATTTACACACTGTGACTTAGATATGCCAGAACAGTATTACTTTCTCTAACTGATCTCATCTTGCATTAAAATGCTCACTTCCCAATAGCAGAATTTCATCTTAGTTTTAAAATCTGTCCCTTCAAAAAGTCTTTTGGTTAATTAGTGAGCCTTTTGGGCTACTGCTCCTTTATTAAAGGTTCTCCTCCTTCTAAAAAGGGGTAAGCTGAGTCTGGGGTAAGCTCTGTCTCTGATCCACATGTCCTTTTATGCTGGCTCTCCATGACCTCTGGTGGAGACATAACTGGTCTCTGGGTGTTTTTGTTTTCTTTTGTTTGTTTGTTTAGAGATGGGGGTCTCACTATTTTGCCTAGGCTGGTCTTGGATTCCTGGGCTCAAGTGATCCTCCTCCCGCCTCGGCCTCCAAAAGGCTGGAATTACAGGCATGAGCCATCACGCCCTGCCCTCTGGGTGCTGGTCTCTGACATCACTGCATTCATTGCTTAAAATGTTTCCATTTTGTGGGAAGTGTAACTTGTTTATCTCACTCAAGGACTGGCAGATCTCCTTCCTTTTAGTCCTGTGTAGCATCTAAGGCTTAGCTGCCAATTTTTATTTTATTCTCAGTTTGGACGTTATATGCTATAGCCCTCTGCTCATGTCACCTTTTCCCATCCTGATTCCTTGCTCATCATCACTTTCACTGGAATAATCCAAAAATACCAAGACTCACTAAAAACCATACACAGCGGCTAAGCACGGTGGCTCATACCTATAATCCCAGCACTTTGGGAGGCCAAGGCAGGCAGATCACCTGAGGTCAGGAGTTCGAGACCAGCCTGGCCAAGATGGCGAAACCCCATCTCTACTAAACATACAAAAATTAGCCGGGCATGGTGGTGGGCGCCTGGAGTCCCAACTACTTGGGAGGCTGAGGCAGGAGAATCTCTTGAACCTGGAAGGCAGAGGTTGCAGTGAGCCGAGATCGCGCCACTGCACTCCAGCCTGGGCAACAGAGTGAGACTCCATTGCAAAGGAAAAAAAAAAAAAACCCTTCCAACAAAGTATTTAATCTCATAATTTGAGTCTTTATTCATATATAAACTATGAAATCCAATTCTCCTCATGCCTGTAATCCCAGAACTTTGGAAGGTTGTGGCAGGAGGATCACTTGCATCCAGGAGTTCAAGTCCAGCCTGGGCAACACGGCAAGACCCCATCACTATCAAAAATTTATAAAAAATTAGTTGGACATGATGAGTCACAACTGCAGTCCAAGCTACTTGGGAGGCTAAGACAAGAGGATCCCTTGAGCCCAGGCTGCAGTGAGCTATGATGGTGCCACTGCACTACAGCCTGGGTGACAGAGCATGTCTCTGGAAAAAAAAAAAATATATATATATATGTATATTTTAAAAAGGACCAATGTGATTAAACATCAAATGATTTGTGGGCACCATTCTTAAGTTTGAATATATGCTAGTAATGATGTAATAATTAATAAACATCATTATTAAAACTATTACTACTTGTGGTACTTACCTTTAATCTGATGAAACTGTTTAACCAGATCTTTTATATCCACAGTAGTATTCCCTGAAGGAATCAATACAGGAAATCAAATACAGATACATAAAATTCCCAACTTAAAATGTTTTCTTTTTCAAAGCAGCAAATATATAAAGGAATAACAAACCTCTGTACATAGTAAGTTCTTGAAAATAAGCTGCTGCAAACTGGTTGATGTCTGATGGGTTGGTTTTGAGAACAGCTCTACTAATTCCCTCGAGCAGAGTCTTGAGGCCATAGGGTATGACAAGTCTGGGCTTTGAAGAAATCATTTTGGCAGGATGTCTGTAACTCAACTAGAATGAAGAAAAACAAAGTCTTATAAATAATGTTTTACTAAAATAGTTTTTTTTTTTCTTTTTTTTTTGAGACACTGTCGCCCAGGCTGGGGTGCGGTGGCATGATCTCAGCTCACTGCAACCTCTGCCTCCCGGGTTCAAGTGATTCTCCAGCCTCACCCTCTTGAGTAGCTGGGACTACAGGCGCCCGCCACCACACCCGGATAATTTTTTGTATTTTTTAGTAGAGACGGGGTTTCACCGTGTTAGCCAGGATGGTCTCCACCTCCTGACCTCATGATCCGCCCGCCTGGGCCTCCCAAAGTGACTAAAATAGTCCTTATGAGTTAACTATAGTTTCCAATAATAAACTATCTCCTATTATCAGCTTTAGTTCTAATATGTAGGTATTCATTTTAGTAAAATGGGCTAATTCTTGATGGTAGTTTAAAAAATAACACAACCCTACTAACAATAGCCTACTATGTGCAGATGAGCAATCTAGTACCATTACAGAAATCCATAGGAAAAGCCCTGCCAAGACCCTGAGGACATTAAAAACAAAGAACAAAAACCAGAACCTGCCTCTGTAAAATTCAGTGAGTATTTTGTGCAGTTAACATTTCATGTATCTGTTTCTAAACAAGTCCTTCCAAACCACACAGGCACTGGCCTTTCTGTATACATATGCATCAAACAGTTACAAGATAGTTTTTTTTTTTCTGTAAGAAAATGTTTTTCCTAGACGGGCGGATCACGAGGTCAGGAGATCGAGACCATCCTGGCTAACACGGTGAAACCCCGTCTCTACTAAGAAATACAAAAAACTAGCCGGGCGAGGTGGCAGGCACCTGTAGTCCCAGCTACTCGGGAGGCTGAGGCCGGAGAATGGCGTGAACCCGGGAGGCGGAGCTTGCAGTGAGCTGAGATCCGGCCACTGCACTCCAGCCTGGGCTACAGAGCAAGACTCCGTCTCAAAAAAAAAAAAAAAAAAAAAAAAAAAAGTTTTTCCTTATTTTTCTAAATATATTCTCACACGGTGCTTTTCGGAGACAGAGTCTCACTGTCACCCAGGCTGGAGTGCAGTGGTGTGATCTTGGCTCACTGCAACCTCCGTCTCTTGGGTTCAAGCAATTCTCTGCCTCAGCCTCCGGAGTAGCTGGGATTACAGGTACCTGCCACCACACCCGGCTAATTTTTGTATTTTTAGTAGAGATGGGGTTTCACCATCTTGGCCAGGCTGGTCTTGAACTCCTGACCTTGTGATCTACCCGCAGCCTCCCAAAGTGTTGGGATTACAGGCATGAGCCACCACGCCCGACCGTTGCTCATGTTTAAGTGTGCATTTTTTAGCTTTAAATTTTGGGGGTTTTTTCAGCCTGCTTCATACCTGTAGGAATAACTTTGTTTTTAACATTAATCAGAGTGGGTATAATTTATTTGCGCTATTGTTATACCACCGTCATTTGTACCTGTCTTTTCTCATATCTCCCTTACCCTCTTCCCAAATTTTCCCTTATGTTTCCCCTTCTGCCTTTCTGGCTTTTAAGTGGTATCAGAGATATTGCACAGACCAACCTGTAATTCTCGGAGTTGCAGAGGCTGCCACCTAAAACTATGTCAGGGTGTACGTGTTCTGACTCCTCCTAAAAAATTATCTAAGGCTTCTAAAGAACAAAATTAAATAAGAAAATCCCTAAAGTGGTGAGGGGAAAACTAAGATAGGAAAAACAGGGTGAAGCTACAGGTAAAGTTAGCACTCCAATGCATGCCATAGCTCCTTCACTTTGATAAAGATGGGTATCAAATCGATCCCTGAGCTACCAAGGAGCCATCACAAAATAAGAGATAGGTGGTTAAGTGATTCAGGTTTCCTGAGGTGAAAAACAAATCAGTTGTTTGAGAGAACCACAGCTATTCCGGATACTGAAACCCAGGAGAAATTTCTCCCCCAAGTCCTTATAAAGCAAATAGTGTGATATAATGAGCCATGTCCTCAACAACATCCCTACAATAAATAATGAGTTTCATGGGGTTAAGTGGCATAGTCTAATTATAGAAGGGCACAGCTTCTATTATAAAGTAACTAATATCTCATAGCAAAATGTTCAATACTTAAAAGCACATCTCATCTTCCCAAAGGTCAGGACAACATGAATCTGTACTGGCCAAAGCAAATCCTTTCAGAATATAATTAAGTATAATTGAATCCCTTAATGAAAACTTCCTTTTACAGCATCATTCAACAGATTTACTGAATTAAACCATCTTTAAAAAACCAGAAGTGATCCAGCAATCCCACTGCTGGGTGTATACCCAAATGGAAATCAGTCTACAGAAGAGATATCTGCACTCCCATGTTTGTTGCAGCACTGTTGACAATAGGTAAGATTTGGAAGCAACCTAAGTGTCTATCAACAGATGAATAAAGACAATGTGGTACACAGATACAATGGAGTACTATTCAGCCATTAAAAAAGAATGAGATCCTGTCATTTGCAACAAAATGGATGGAACTGGAGATTATTATGTTAAATAAGTGAGGCACAGAAAGGAAAACATTGCATGGTCTCTTATTTGTGGGAGCTAAAAATGGAAACAATTGAATCCATGGACATAAAGAAGGATGGTTACCAGAAGCTGGGAAGGGTAATGGGGGCCTGGGTGGAAAATGGGGAGAAGTGGGGCTGGTTAATGGGTATAAAAAATGAATAAAACCTACTACTTGAAAGCACAACAGGGTGACTATAGTCAATAAGTTAATGTACATTTTAAAATAACGAAAAGAGTGTAACTGGACTGTAACACAAAGGATAAATGTTTGAGGGGATGCCCCATTCCCCATAATGTGATTAACATTGTATGTCTGAATCAAAACATCTCATGTACCCCATAAATATATACACCTACTATGTACTCACAGAAAAAGAATTTAAAAAAAAAATAAGTGGGGATTCGGCAGTCCCATATGCTGAATGCTAAGGAGCATAGGCAGCAATGACATATACATATATACTGTTTGTTACATATATATATTTGATACATACTCATACATATCGTATGTCTAATTTTAAGTACCCAAGGTGAGTAGATAGACCGTTTTGAAAGTGGCTCCCAGAGGCTGGGCGCGGTGGCTCACGCCTGTAATACCGGCACTTTGGGAGGCCGAGGCGGGCGGATCACGAGGTCAGGAGATCGAGACCATCCTGGCTAACACCGTGAAACCCCGTCTCTACTAAACATACAAAAAATTAGCCGGGCGTGGTGGCGGGCGCCTGTAGTCCCAGCTACTGGGGAGGCTGAGGCAGGAGAATGGCGGGAACCCGGGAGGCGGAGCTTGCTGTGAGCTGAGATCCGGCCACTGCACTCCAAGCCTGGGCGACAGAGCGAGACTCCGTCTAAAAAAAAAAAAAAAAAAAATGGTGGGGGCTCCCAGAAACCATGATGGCGCCAACAACCTTTCAAGAGGCAGTTAGCAGTTGCTGCTACCAAAGGTGGGGACAGCGGCCATGCACTCCATGATCCCCCGTCCCACTAGTTCTCACCCCGACTTTGGGAACGTATGGGGCCAGGGACGCTAAACGTCCTACAGTTCAGTTCCCCACAAAGAACTGTCCTGAGCAAGCTGATGAAGGTCAACGGGTAAAATAGTCACAAACATTATTAGGGTTATTTAAAAGCGACAGCTTAATAATTCTCCCCAGATCCCTCCTATCACCAATACTGGTCCAACACTGGCAGAATTTAAACCCTGCCCCGCCCAACTGTAAACGTCCATGCACCCACTACCACAAGGGTAACGTCTTAATCAAGAAACATGATGCCTTTCAGGATGCCAGCAGGGACTTCGGAGCCGTAGGTAACTGCACTCCCCCATCTCTCCCTGAAGAGCCTCCGGTGTGTGGCCCCCGCTGTGTCAGTGCTCGCTTTGCGCTAGGTCTGTTTGGGAGAGGGGAGTGAAATGTAGGAGGCTGGGCGTGCTCACTTCGCCTGGACTTGTTCAGGAGAGGCGGGCGACGGACCCACCGAGGCCCCAGATTCGGCAGCTGGCCGTCTAGTCGCCGCACTCCCCGGTGTGGGCCGGGGCCGCCCCACAGGTCCCCCCCAACTCTGAGGACCCTCCGCCTTCCCCGACACCTGAGGCTCCGACGACCTCTCCCATTTCGAGAGACTCCCTGAGGCATAACTGTCTCCGAGGCCCCAGGGTGCGCCTTTTCTCCAGACTCTCCCCACCTGCTTTCCGGCTGCGCTCTTTGGAGCTTCCTCGTTGCCCCCTTGCCGGCGGCTCCTGAGGTTTGACGCTTGCGAGCGTTTTTATAGCCCCGGAGGCATCAGGGCGTGCGTCACGAAGTCCCGCATCACAAAGCTCCGCACGCACGCAAGGAGGCGGGGCCACAGCGGCTGCAGCCAATGGGGAGCCGAAAGCGACAAAGGCCGTAATTTGGCCGGCGAAAGAGGCTTGTTTCCCCTCTTCTGGCTACACCTGAGCTTATTTAGGTGATTTCCCAACAAATGGCCAGGAGTAGCTCAAAGCGACTGCCTCTCCGTCTGTGGTCGTTGGGCCTAAAATTAGAGCTCATTTGGAAAGAAAGAAAGAGATTTATGGCAGTGCTGTTATGTCTCTACCTCGCGATTCCACACACTGCTCCTGGCCCCATAAACTATAGCTCTCTTCGGTCACCTTTAGGAATAATTTCTGCCACGTTGTAGACTCAGAGTGAATAATTGTACGCAACACAGCACTTTTTCTTTTGTGAAACTCGCCTGTGGAATGGAAGTTTAGCATGAATCCCGAAACTTCCTGTTTCTCCACAGTTGAGATCAGACACCAACTATCCCTACAAAGCCCACCGTCAAAAACAAGTCAAGGAGTGACTGTGTGTAACTTCAGCTCAATTTTTCCAAACTAAAGGAATACTGCTTCATTTAAAAACGCCCACTTTGCCAGGTGCGGTGGCTTACGCCTGTAATCCCAGCACTTTGGGAGGCCGAGGCGGGTGGATCACGAGGTCAGGAGTTCAAGACCAGCCTGGCCAAGATGGTGAAACCCCGTTTCTACTAAAAATACAAAAAATTAGCCGGGCATGGTGGCGGGCGCCTGTAATCCCAGCTCCTCTGGAGGCTGAGGCAGAGAATTGCTTGAACCTGGGAGGCGCAAGTTGCAGTAAACCCAGATTGCGCCACTGCACTCCAGCCTGGGCTACCGAGCGAGACTCCGTCTCAAAAAAACAAAACAAACAAAAAAAAGCGCCCACAGTTTGCTCTTTCACTCATTTAGGCTCAGGTATTTGGGCTGGGCTCCAAATAACACCATAATCATGATTATCAGAGTACAAGCAGCCTTCATTTTGATCCATCTTCAAATGTTTAAAAAGCAACTACTTTAAACCAAAGAGCATTGCCAGGGCAGATATCTGACCAAAAGCAAAACAAAACAAAACAAAAACAACCAACCCCCTTTCCCAACCCTGCCCAAAAAAACCCACAAAAAAACAAAAACAAAAAAAACCCTGTTTTTTAATTCAGAAAAAAATAGGGTTCCAGAGCACTTTGCAATAAAAGGCAATGTTAAGGCCTCAGTCAGCATTATCTAGTGCCATTCATTAATCCACTTAATAATTAGTACTGAGTGCCAGGCAAACTCCCTCTTCTCGGGAAGATTACATACTTAAAAAGGGAGAAATAGCAAGACTCCGTCTCAAAAAAAAAAAAAAAAAGGAGAAAGGCTTTTAGACTGAGTGTGTTGGTGGCTCTGCAGATATTTTTCATCCTTCGTCACTGACCTCCAGCACCACTTTGGTAATGTAAATAAAAGTAAGATGAGGCTGTCATGATTTCTGATAGCTTGGTTTATAACACATGTAGCTGTCAGAGACATAATGAATGAGCTACTGAAAATCCTAAGTACAAACACTAAGACCTCATCTGTGGTGTCTTTTGGAATTGGAGACATTTATGGTTTTTAAACCTAACCTCGGTGGGTCATCTCAAACATCTATTCGGTGTAAGGTATTATGCGGAAATATCTGTAACTCAAAAAAGATTTTACTCTCTTCCTTTCTTCAATGACTGCTTGGCTGAGTCATTCTGAAATGCAAATTGTTACAATGAAAACATCTAACCAAGAATTTTCAAACCACTGCCCATCGGCTGCTTTGATTTCTTGAACTCTTAATGATTTCATGTGGTTTCATAATCTTGGCCTTCTGTTCATCTCCCTTTCAGTCACCGGTATGTTATTTTTTGGTCAACAGTGATTTAAAACGCAAATCTACCTTCTTTTCTACTGTCCCTCTGCCACACCCGAAATCCTTCCATGGTTGTGGGTGTGGTCTCTACATACCTCTCGTATTTCATCGCTCGCCATGTGATCCCCACTTGACGCTCCAGAGTCTTGAACACACATGAGGTTTGTCACCTCTGTGCTTTTGCTCATTAGGTCCAAGGCCTTGAATCCTGCCCCAGCAAGTGTTTTCACCGGACTGCATCCTGCTTATCCTTTATAACCCATCTCAGAAATCTACTTTAGGAAGCCAGTGGGTTAGCAGCATTCTCTCAGTGATCCCATGATGTATGCTTTATGACTTATCCTTGCTATATAATTCTGCTTGTGTTTAACTCTTCTCCCAGATTTACTAAATCCTTAACAAAAGCTGAATAGGGCAATGTTTCTCTAATCCACATCACCTGCGTAAGAAATCGTCCCAGGAGCTTGTTAAAAATGCCTTCCCAAGCCCTACCTAGAACCTATCGAATCAGAATCTCTTCGTAAAACACGAAAATTGACAACCACTAGCCTCTAGGAGGAGGAATTAGGCATTACATAGAGGTCACCTGGGTTTCTTTGGGTTTTTTTTGTTTTTTGTTTTTTTTTTGAGATGGAGTCTCGGTCTGTCCCCCAGGCTGGAGTGCAGTGGCGCAATCTAGGCTCACTGCAAGCTCCGCCTCCCAGATTCACGCCATTCTCCTGCCTCAGCCTCCCAAGTAGCTGGGACTACAGGCGCCCGCCACCATGCCCAGCTAATTTTTTTGTATTTTTAGTAGAGATGGGGTTTCACTGTTAGCCAGGACAGTCTCGATCTCCTGACCTCGTGATCCGCCTGCCTCAGCCTCCCAAAGTGTTGGGATTACAGGCGTAAGCCACCGCGCCCGGCTGAGGTCACCTGGGTTTCAAGTGTGTTGCTTCTATTTCATACCCAAGTCAACTAGGTGATAGAGCTCAGCCCCCTTGCTAGCTTTCACAAGAAAGCCAGTTAAATTGTGCTCTGCATACTTTACTGAAAAAGGAGCGTATCTGTTATGGACCAACTTTCTCTTGCTCCCCTTATCCTTTTCTCTTTCTGCATTTCCTCTTCTAGCT